CCTCTCGAGTTGCAAGGATTACCGGCATGTGCCACCATGCCCAGCTACACGTTCTTTTTTTTTCTGGCACGGCAATACCATCTGCATTTTCGTTGGCAAGAGACATTGCTGCATCGCTTATTGATGACGTCGTTTCTTTTTTTTTTTTCCACAAATGTAAAAATCATGAATATAGCAGAATAAGGAATTGCCATTCTCCTTATATTGTTGCAAGAAATACTGGGAATAAATTGGGAAGACGATAAACAGCAACTGGAGTGCAGGCAAAGTTTCTGCTGCCTTAGAAATACCTTTATTTGTGTTAAATAAAAGCTTCAAGTATTTGTTGAAGTAGGACAATCATTTGTATCCAACCGATGTAAGAATAACACATCTCTGTTAATGACTCTAGTGATGAAACATAAAACATGCAGTCTCTAACATTACTGCAGTTTCTGAGAACAACTGAGTCATTTTGGCACTCTTCATGGGGCAACAAAATTAAATTGGTTTACTAATTGTCCACAGTCATACAATAAGACCTCTGAAGGTGGTCTGGACCATATTTACCTCAGAGCCCACGATGATGGCTTGCTGTTGTCTTTCTCACACCCTTGATCGTCCTTCCTTCCTTCCTGCCTGCCTTTCTTCCTTTTCCCTCTTTTCTCTGTTCCTTTCTTTCCTTCTTCATTCTTTGTGTTTGGTTGTAGAACTGTTATGTATTGATTAAAATACAATGCAAGGATTTTCTGGGTGACATCCCTGAACATGGAATAGAAGAAAACTCCAGGGCTCAAGTTCTCCACCAAAGCAAGGAATGAGCAGGCAAAAACTGTCAGTATCAACTTTTACAGAGGGCTGGAATCTAGACAACGATGTATAATCACCAGGGAAAGACTTGGAGGGGAAAGAAAGTGGTTCTGGTGTTGTAGCTCGGTGGTAGTGGGATTGCCTAGCATGTGCCGTGGCTCTGGGTTCCATCCCCAGGACCAAAAAGGAAGAAAAAAAAAAGAAAAGAAAAGAAAATGGAAGAAAGAAGGTGCTGGCTGGCAGCTAAGGGAAACCTGCCCCATCTTTCATTACCCACCTAGCATCCCCAACACCCAGATCAGCAGTGGCGTGAGGAATGCAGCCAGCATACCTGACCAATGTAAGCTGTCCCAACAGCAGGAATATGGACTTTCTTCCCAAAGGATTGTGGTTTCTGTTTCGACCTGTTGGATAGTTGGCTGCCTGAAGGGACAGCAAGAGGGCAGTCATCTGCTTTGCCTGGTTCTTGGAGCTCCCCAGGCCAGGAACCAGGAGATGGCTTGACTACAAAGAGGCATGAGGGAACATCGAGGGTGATGAAAACGTTCTGTATCTCAATTGTGGTGGTGGTGGAAACCAACCATATGTACCTGTTAAAATTCACAGAACAGCACGCTGGAAAGAGGTGAAATTTATGGTCTGTAAGTTGTGCCTCAATAAACCTTTTGACAAAAAAAAAAAAAATACAACTAAACGGAACAAAAGGAGTACGATGGTAAAGGGATACCTGTGAAGCAGGACTGGGATTCCAGCTCAGGGCAAAGGGGTGTCCCAGGACATCACCTGTGCATTCAGTGCACCTAGAAAGAACCAGCCCAACAGAGAATGGAGGACAAGAGAGATGGTTTAAAATGCTAACCCTTACAGGACTACAGAAACTAAGCCAAAGGGAGAGACAAAGCAGTTTTCTACTTTGGGGGTGGAAAGTCCCTGAGAAATGGATAGAATCTACTAGAACCACAATGAGAGAGTGAAGGGAAGCAGAGTGGATAGTGTAGTGAAAGAGATCATTCTCACCTGTTCATCAATACTTAATGTCTGTAAGGCATGCAGTGGGGTGAGGGAGAGAGGGATGGAGGGAGAGAAGGAGGGTTGATGGCCAGGGCCCAGCAGATACCCAGAGTTCGGGACATGAAAGTCTGAGCCACAGAGTCTAGACAGGTGGAGCTTTCCAGGGCAGAGGACCAGAGCGAAGGGAACTGCAGAGGGAGACAACCCTACATCCCCAGTGTGTCCCATCCGAGTATTCAGCAGACCACAGGGGAGCACAAGCACACGAGGAAACTACCTGAGGACTGGGAAAGGCTCTGCCCCTCAAGAGGATGCAAGTAACTGCACAGCACTCAGGGAGGAAAGAGATCAGCAGCTTTCCCCACCCACCAGGTGGGGAAGGTCACATTGACAGGGAGGCATCAGGCAGGGCACTCATGAGGGCCGTGCCCTGTCAGCACAGAAATATGTCTCCTACGCTGAGCTGCCCTGTTCTCATGTCCTTCATCCTCAAAGACCCAGAAGGATCAAACCTTTTCCAAGTCACTCTAACAGCATCCCAGCACACAGCTCAGGGCTCTGTCTAGGAACACAGAAATACCCAGCGGTCCAGGAAGAAGGTGGAACGGGATACAAAGCAGCAGGAAAATGCAACTCATACAGAGGAGAGAAACCAATGAATGAAAGGCATCCAGATTAGAAAGGAAGGTAAAGAAAAAACAAAAAACCTTGCCTTCATTTGCACTCATGATCATCTATGCATGAAACCTGAGACCATTTACAAAAGAGCTACTTAATTAGTGAGCTTGGCGTGTTTGCAGGATGCAATATGTTTTAGAGACAGCTACTATAAGGACAGATGCAAATTAAATATAAGAGGTTTGGGGGGGGGGGGCTAGGGACACAGCTCAGTTGGTACAGTCCTTGCTTTGCATGCACAGGGCCCTGGGTTTGATCCCCAGCACCACAAAAATAAAATAACAGGTTTAATTCTCACTGTTGGAGAGACTCCTCCCTCCTCCCCCTTTGTTAAAGCATTGACTTAGGAGAACTTGTAAGTTCTTTCTCCATCTCTGAAAAGGATGTAAATACCTTTTCAAAGTTACAAAAGAAAGAGCCTCTTGCCAGCTTTATGACCCAGGAAGTGTGTTCAAGGACCTAGGAACCGTCTGGTCTCTATGAAAAGTAAACAGCTGGGATGATATTTCCCCCACTTCCCAGTTCCTGTGAGAGAAAGGGAGCGTGGGGTGGGGGAAGAGGAAATACTAGAAGTCTTACTTCAGTGGGCTCCTTGCTCCGAGTGTGAAAACGAGATCCTGTCATAAGAATGTGAGAAGTCTACTTATTTTTCCCTTGGATAAAGACAGTTATATTAGTCTGCTCAGGCAGCCATAACAAAGTTCTACAGACCAGTGGGCTGAAACAACAGAAATTTATTTTCTCACAGTTGTGAAGTCCATGATGAAGGTGATGGTAAATTCAGTTTCTGGCAAGGGCTCTCCTCCTGGCTTGTAGTTGGCCACCTTCTGGCTATGTGCTCATTTGGTCTTTCTCCAGCATATGTGCCCTAAATGGGCACCAGAGCCCTCACCTTTACTTAGAAGGCCATGTTGGATCAGAGCCCCACACTTGGGACCTCGTTTAACCTTAATTACTCCCCTAGAGGCCCCATTTCCACATACAGCCACACTGGTGATTGGTTAGGACTTCAACACATGAATCTGGGGGAACGCACAGTCAGTCCCTAACAGCAATAAACTAATACATACGGTCGCCCTGAATGCCAAGTTAATTTAGTATGTACTGTGTGTGAGAGATGGCACGGGCAAGTCATCCTTCCCAATGACTAGTTATTGTCCACCCCCCACTCCACCGAGCAAGGATGGAATGAGTTAGATCTGCTTGGCTACATGAGAGGGTGATGCCTTTCTGCCCCTCTGCAGTCTCGATGGATTGGCTTTAATGTGCATCACATTCTGGTGCATTGCTTATTCAATAATGAAATCATTTTCTACCTTTGTGCGGATGGTCTCTGCCTGGGCTGGCAGAGAATTTTCTTTCTAATTGTATTTTTCCAATGCTACAGCCCTCTCACCCTGAAAACACTCAACTCATTGCCCTGACACTTTTTTTCTTTGCCGATCTGAAACAGGCATAGTAAGGCATTAAATTTTTGTTCTAGTGTTTCTAGTTTGCTTGCTCTTGTGGTGCAAACTAAGTAATTAAAAAAAAAAATCCTAGAAGAACTAGATCCAGCAGTGACAAGAGATGTGAGGAAGCCACCATTCTGGCGGAAGGGCACAATTCCTGGAGGTCAGAACAATTTTGTATGAACATATTTCAGAACCTGAAATAAGTAAATGAAAGTAATGCATTGTCATGTAATCCTTGTTATACAATCCACCATTCACTCAGGGGCATGTGTACAGGAATCCCTAGCAATTCTCACTCAAGATGAGGTGAGGAGGGCTGGGGATGTCTCTCAAGAGGTAGCGCGCTCGCCTGGCATGCGCGGGGAGCTGGGTTCCATCCTCAGCACCACATAAAAATAAAATCAAGATGTTGTGTCCGCCGAGAACTAAAAAATGAATATTGAAAAATTCTCTCTCTCTCTCTCTCTCTCTCTCTCTCTTTAAAAAAAAGATAAGGTGAGGAGATCAAGCACAATTTAAATGCTCAATGATCACATTTCTGTGTATTTTTTTTTTTTACATTAACATGGTTTGGAATTGTTTTTAAAAACTTGGAGGTTAAATGGAAAAAAAAAACTAATATTAAACTTGCAAGCAAAAGAGTTCATGTTTCTGTGGCTGCTATCCATTTCGTGTATAACTACGACTTTGAAGTACAAATACGCCAGGTGCGGTGGCATAAGCCTGTAATCCCAGCAAGCTGGGAGGCTGAGGCAGGAAGATTGCAAGTTGGAGACGAATGTCAGCAACTTGGCGAGACCCTGTCTCCAAACAAAAGAAAAACAGGGCTGTGGATGTTGCTCCTTGTTTGAGCACCGCTGGGTTCTATTCTCAGTCCCCCCAACCCCCAAAAGAGAGTAAGGACAAATATATCTCCAACTCCTGACGGTATAGTTGATGCCCAATTGACTTCCACCTTCCGTTTCTAAAGCATCTTCGATTACCTTATGATATTTGACTGAATCTCAGAATTGCTCCCCCAAGGCAAGGACAAGGGTGAGAAAAGCAATAGGTGAAAAGACACTCAAGCACACAACAGTAGTTCAGTTTTATTTCCAGCATTAACAAACATTTATGCACCCTAGCGCCAGTCCAGAGAAACAAACCGCTCCCCCATCCCCACCAATACACGGGTGACCACCGCAGGAATCAGTGCCCTAGGGCTGGAAGAGAACTTAGGGTGAGAACTCAACCTCCTTTTCCTGGTTGAGGCTTCAGGAAATACGGGGGCACAAAGCGCTGCATGGCCTGCACCACCATGGAAAGCTGGTTGAGCAAGGAGGCGACGGATATCTGCAGGAGGCTGGAGTTTTCAGCAGTCAAGCGGCTAAAAGTAAGGGGAAAAGAAAATCACAACCAAGATGCCAACTCCTCTCCCTTGGTCCTCGCCCCGCCCCGCCGGGCCATGCAGCTAATCCTTCAGTATCTCACCTAGAGCGCCCCCTGCACTGCGGCCCTCCTCTGACCAACCCTTGGGTGTCTCCAGGCGTCTCACAGAGTGCCCCCTCAGGGCGAGACGGGTCAGCCACCTGCTGCCACCTGCTCCCGCTCAGCCAGGCCCCTTGTGAACTTACATAACCAGGTCACTGCCGATCACGGTGAATTCCCTGTGAACCGCCCCTCCGAGGGCCTCGATGCCCGGGGCCAGGTACCTGCGGGCAATCTCCGCATCCATGAAGGACAGGAAAGGCACCGTGAGGCCGCTGGTGGAGAACCAGTTAAGGCAACTTGGAGACGCGGGCCACCCACGACCCCTTCCGCCGACTGCAGCCCACGGCATAGCCCCCATCCGTCAGGCTGGTCCCCTAAGTCCGCTTCCTCTAGCCGCCTCGGTGCCTCACTCGTCCTTCCGCCCGCAGGGTGTTCCTCCCCGCCAGATCCCCAAACCACTCCCAGCCTGGCCCTCAGCCTTGCCTCGACCCTTGGGAAGGATACAATTCCAGCTGTTGGTTTCCCACACCCTCTGCAGAAGCTTCTGCACCCCGCCCTGAACCGAGCAACGCCCCGTCGACCTGGGGCGCTTCCCCGGCAGCAGCACCCTCTGTTCCTCCGCCTTCCCACAGCCCGGGGTTTCCAGAGCGCCCAGGGCCACTGGACCCACTGGCACTGCCCTCTGCCCCATCACGACACCCGCCATCGCCACCATCTGGGGCCTGCATGGCTGCTCCACGTGCCCCCTCAGAGCACACCTCGCACACAACCTCCACTTCACGCTGTGCTGAAGGAATGAGGTGCCCACACGAAGTCCCACCCCTTCCCCACACGAAGTCCCACCCCTTCCCCCACAATGCACCCCGTGAGGCCCACTGCGCCTGCGCCCGAAGGCCCCCATGTGCTGAGGCACCAGCCGTGTGGTGGGTTTCGACCAAACCTGCCCTGCTGCCCCTGGGCCCTTGGGCGGCCCCGTCGGCCTGCTCCCTCACAAGGCCCCGCCCCTTGACTGTAGGCACCTCAGGCCCTCCCAGAGGACCCGCGCATGCAGGCCCCTAATGAAGCTGCCTGTGACCGCCTCAGTTCCCGCCATTTTAAGGGGTCGCGAGGCTCTACTTTGGCCAGTGTGGACAACCACTCATATTACCGCCTGCTCTGAATTACCCCGTCCTGGGCATGAGGCCTACACTGCTGAGGGCACCCGCCCCCAGTCTCGAGTGAGAGCCTGGAGCGCCTGTGGACCATACAGAGAACTGGGGGAAGCAGGGTCTGGGGTGGAACTTGGGTCTCTCCTCAGCGGCGGCAACGACACAGCAGGCACAGGCAGCCACGCTGGGGACAGGACCTAGGACCTGTTAGGCACCCTTGGCTCTCGGGCTGAGAGGACAGTGTCTGGGCAAGACGGATCGTGCCAGGAGAAGCTGCTGGTGGCCAGTTCTCCCAGGCCAGAGGGCCAGCCTGAGGACATCAGTCCGGGTGATGCAGATGTGGTGAGCCATTGCAAGTTCATCACCCTCAGGGAGGACTAATGACCATGGTCATGTTACAGCCCTTTCAGTGTGGAGGTAGCGTTTCTCCATCAGTCTGTCAATGCCACGCGCCTTCGTAACAGATACAATAGATGAATACAATCTCCAGAGCAAAAAACAACACTACAGTGTAGTAAAATGACATTTTTATAGCTTTAAAAAAATGTAGCATATATAACTAACATCTGAGAGATGCCCACAGTTAACAACCCCCTCCCCCCAAATGGGGCATTATAACAACCAGCCCTCAGGAGCCCAGAGGAGCTAAGCCACGGCACACCAGTGTCCTACTCCCACCTCTCTACATGGCCCTTTCATTAACTGCTTCTCGGCTGCGTATGTTAGATTAGAATGTGCCGTCTGTTCCCTGCTGTGTCTGCATACTGCTGCAAGGGTAGATGCAGGCATCCGGCAGCTACATGAGGACGTCTGCGTGTATCAGTCGGCATGCATCTGCAGGTAACATAAGCCTCACTGGCCAGCTTTTGCACAGGGACTTTAACGCAGAGATCCAGTTGCTGACGAAATCATTTGAGGAGCCAGAACCATGGCATGTAGGCCAAGACTCTGACAATGATTCCCAAAATACCACAGAATGACCTGCCTGGGGAGCCAGAACCCGCACCACAAGAGGATGGTAGCGAGATCAGGAACCTGCTGACCCTACCATTGCTTCTGGGAATACACCCCCCACCCCATCATCCAAGTACTGTGTCAGGAAGGTTCCCCTCTCTCTAACTGCGAGTCCCACAGCCACTCTGCACCTGCTGCATCTGAACAGCACGTAAGAAACGAGGCCTTAGATCCCATCCTGAGTTAGTAAACGTCTAGCGATGGGCCCTTGTGAGGTGGGGAGGAGCCCTGATTTCTGGCGCTTGCCAGAAACCATGTCCTGCATGCACTCCCAGCTTGGCCGACTTCAAGCTACCAATAGGAGCTCACTGGGGGCACAGGTGACAAGAGATGGTCCCCATGGGCTGCCTGTCACCAGCAGATAGGGGCTGGCTCCAACACACCACTGCTGGCACCAGCTTTTACCCCACATTAGGAATCTCTGCTAACACTGCCGTGGAAATGTGAATCTTTGCGCGTTGCAGAGAGAGAAGAGGTAGCACCGTAGGGGTCAGCTAGGGATTTTTATGAACCATTTCCACAGAGCTCTTAAAGCAGAGGGTCCTGGAGGTCCTTATTTTCAGAGTCTTGTTGGAGTATAAGCTCGAGGTGTCAGCCGGAGTGCATCTGTGTGTGGTTGTCATGGGCATGAGAAGCCATGCTGCACTGAAAGTCCATGGGACTGGAAATTGAAGGTTCGTCACTCTGGTGGTTTTCCTGGGCAAGCCTCGAGGTCGGGGTGCCACCATGTTCAGTCTCAGCAGGGAGTGGGAAGTGGGAGGTGTTCCTCCTTTTGTGGGTCTTAGGTGAGGGGGTTACGACTGGTAAGGCTGATAAGCTACCACGTCTGGTGTTCCTGATATGATTTGGGGTGTCCACGTATCCAGGTGCACCTTGATTCAGTTTGGTAACTTGCCACGTATAGGTTGTTTATCAGTTTGTGCCTCATGGTTGCGCTGGGCAGATGGTGGTGGTTTACTTGTACGAGCAAGGGCCAGACTCATTCTGCCTTATACTCAAAATGGAGTAGCGCATGGCACACCACTGCTTTTAAAAATGGAGCAACTCAGGTTTAGACACAGAAAACGGAGCAACTCAGGTTTAGACACAGCCTGAAAAATGGCTGTTCTATACATTGTGGAGTCACTGTGAGCGGGGCATAGCCTGCTCTCCACACAGCTTAAGCTCCAAATGGCTCACTCAAGCCCTATGTAGACTGCAAAATGATCCTCTCGAGGTCCAGAACCTCAACTGGTGCCGATAAAATCCTTTGTGTGCACCCTGGTGGGACTACCAACAATGGCCCATCAACCATTTCCAGTGACCTCATTTTCCTCACCTATGAAGCAAGTTTTAAGTAGCCACAGTTGCAACAGGAAGGAAAAGGGCAACTGCCCTGGGATTTAATATCTCCAGGCAGCTGCAGGACCTTTCTTGTGGTTCCAAGTACAGGTCCGGCAAGTTAGGAGAGTGTGTCAGTCCTGAGCCCTTTCCTTGTCACCGTGGTTCACTTTATGCTTTGACTGTATCCCTTGTTGTTCTAAAACTCACAATTTTTCTTTAACTCTTCCCAATCTTGTCCTCCATGACCTGGTCCTCCGTGACCTGGTCCTCTGTGACTGGGTCCTCCGTGACCTTCTCCTCCATGACCTCCTCCTCCATGACCTTCTCCCCGATCCTCTCCTCCCTAATGTCTGCTTTCTAATCTCAGGGAAACTGAACTCCTCTGAACCACCTCTTTAAAAACTCCCTGCCCCACCACCCCTGCCCTTGGGCAGAATCATGGTCTCTGAGAGAGGAGTCAGTCCCTGGGTTTCTCTGTTGCTGGCAAAGCAATCAAACTTGTTTTTCCTTTTTGTCAAAACAGTGCCCCATTATTGGGTTGGCATAGGGATCAAGGTCCCAGCTTTTGGTCATAATACCTCCCGGGAGGGAAAAGGCTAGGCTCCACACACTCGCTGCTGCTCCAGAATTATCTGGCGTTAAATTGGGAGGAAAATTGGTTTTATTCAGAACAGGCTCTGAAGGAAGCTGGAAGAAGCCTGTTTGTTTCAAAGTTTGCAAAGGTGTGGGACCAAAGGTCTTTGAAAGTGGAGTTGAGGAAGAGAAGGACTTTGTGAAGGCAGGTAAGGGAGGGAGGGTCTTGATGACAGGGGAGAGCCAGGTCATTATGTTCTGAGGCAAGGTGTGGGTGGCACTGTGAAGGAAAGGGAGGGAGCAAAGAATTCTCTGAGCAGTGAATGGGGTGTGATAACTTCATGAGCCAAGAGGGAAGAGATGGTGAGAAGAGATGGGGGAGGGAAGGTCTTTGTGAGGGAAGGTGAGGGAAGTCAGTATTTTTCAAGAGGAGGGGAGGGACTTTAGTGCTTTGCTAGAGGCAATGCGGTCTGAGAGAAGGCCTTTCTGAGGGCAGTTGGTGGAATGAAGGATTTGGTGAGGTGAAGTGAGGGGTGGAAGGACACTTTGAGGGGAGGTAAGGGATATCACTGCTTGTGGCTGGAATGGAGGAGGGAAATCTTTTGTGAGGAGAGCAGTGACAGGGAAGGCTTTTGTCAGGGGAGGTGGTCCAGGGAAGAGATGTTTGAAGGAAGCTCAGGAGGAAGCCTAGGAGATGGGGAGGGAAGGGAAAGAAGGACTCTGCAACCATAGGAATTTGGGGAGAAAGGGAGAGTTGTTGAGTCTCAGAGGAAGTCACCCAAGAACCATGAAAACGCAGGAAACACCCATGAACCACTGAAAGGCAAAAAGCACTGGTGAACTGTTGCAACTCCTGAGGGACACAAAGGGTAGGGAAAACTAGTCGGGAACTGCAGAACTCTAGCCTGGCACCACCACCTCTAGTCCAGCCCCTACAAACTGTCGTCCTCTAAATGTTAACACACCACACCAACAGGCAGCTCACTTCTTTCCCTCTGGGGATGGTCTGCATCCAAATATTCCTTGCTTTACCCCCAAGGTATATTTCTGTCTTGAGATTGCCCCCATCCTCCCCTGAACATGTACCTACTTTTCTAAATAAGCCTTTCTCTATGCCTTTGTCGGCCACAGGCTGAAATTCTTTTCCATCAGGTATGCCAAGAACCCCACTGGTCCTGCGTCAAGTCTCCCCTTCTCTCTGGGAACTCCTCAGACCCTTCTTTGGGGACATCTCTCCTCCTGTGACAGGAGGATCTGTTGGGGATATAGAGGCAAGGCAGCCATTAGTGTCAGAAGGCAAGACCTTTGTGAGAGGAAGTGAGTGACACAAGGTCTCAGCAAAGGGAAGCGAGGGGTATTAGTGCCTTATGAAGGGAGACGAGTTTGTGAAGGCTTCACAGAGGAGTCGTGATGGAGGGAAATTATCATGGTGCCCGGTGAAGGCAGATGAGACAGGGAAGACTTTGGCAAGGGAGGGAAAGCTTTTGTGAGCTGGCAGAGGTAACCAAAAGACAAGCTTGTTTCCTGGTCAACCGGTACGGGGCGGGGCGGGGCGGGGGGGGGGGGACAAGCCAAAAAAATGACTTTTGATGCACTACAGTCCCCTCAGGGATGGCTGTCAAACCCAGCTGTGACAGGAAACCATCCTCCTGACGGACAGGGTTTTAGGTGTTGCACCTGCTCATATACCGTGTATGGAAAGAGAAGTGTCTGGAACTTAGAATACACCGTAACTCAGGAGCAGGGGTA